GAGTAATGGATATCAGGAAAATGAGTCACTTACAAGAAAGATTATATAATATAGCCAGGACGATTAGCATTTGCAATTCCTACCCTTTACTCATCTCGTTAGCACTCTCCTGAAATATGTAGGCAGTAGAACTCTTAATTTAGAATATTCATACCTATATATTAAATAAAGTACTTAAAAATATGCTCCTAGCAAGAATTACGAATCTTGTTTGCTATTCTGATAACGCGTTGAGTCATTACGTTATGACGTTGTTGGCTGTTTTTCTACAGTACCATAAAGGGTTGCTCTAACAAGCTGTTGTGATTTAAAAGGTGTCAGTGGCTCGTTCGGCAAAGTAATGAACTAATACGTCACAGTCCAGATGGTTTGCCATAAATGTTGTCCTCTTCACTTATACAAAATGTAGGACACAAGGACAGCAGTTCTTCGATAATATAGCGTAGATTATAATTAATTACATTTATCATAAGACATTATGTTAAACCTATTGTGTTTTTAGCACTACGTTCTTAATCTAGTCCCTTAAGAATTAGAAGTGTGTAATAAAGTATTTCAACCACATTATATTCGTCATATCAATTACCGACGACGTGTTTCGCCCAATCCATAGCTCTTAAGGCTAGCTGGTATACAACGAACATAGGAGTGGTAAGAAGACTTGTATACACCATTTGTTACAACAATTGTTATAGTGTGAACGCCTTTTACAAGCAAGCGAAGTATGATTATAATTAATAATCGTTGTTATATTGCTCATAGTGTAATTGCCTACTAACAACATTGGTAGTAGTAATTAAACTAAAATCAATATAGAAATAGACGTATATGCAAGGAAGTGAATTAAGAAAGACTTGAATTAGTCACGTCATATAAGAAGTTAAAATATTAACTAACACTATCGTGTAATTGATACCAAACCAAAGTAATACAAGGGATAAATATGCAATAAATTACGTAATATACACATTAGGAATAATATGTAAAGTATGCACAGTCTGTTAAACCAGACGAAACTATATGACATAAATTCATTAACATCAAACAGTATCGTGTATAAATAAAAACTTGTTATTCGGAGTAACAAAATTTACATGCCACAAATTAAATAATGAAAGTTATACAAGTTGTTATTAAACACAAAGCTAAACAATGGGCTATCTGTGGTGTGACCACAGAAGAAATCGAAGAGGTAAATATCAAGCTAGAGTTAAACTTGCTATTTTAAATACAAAAGTAAACGTGATAAAAAGTATATCGAAATTTGAAATCATAAGTATGTTGTAATGAACGACTTTCAGTACCCGAAGAAATACTGGTGTCCTATATTTCGTACAAGATGGTGAGGGAGAAAGAAAACGTTGATTAATGATACTTGAAATTACAACGACACTTGTTTAATAGGATGACCTAATTTGGCCAAACTGCGAGGTCGGTAATTTTCATAAAAATTAACAATAGTTTATACCATTTTTCAGTGCAATAAAATGAATGTAGTTAACTATAATACAGTTCAAAGTGAGTAGGTGTTTCATCGTATTTATTTTTCAAATTTCATATTCGTGTGGAATATAACGAAAGGAATATAAAACAATGTTTGGTTTGACAAAATAAAATACGAGACCGTGGTATCAGACATCGTTTGGTATGTTTTGCACATTAATTAATTTCTATTTATTAATTTGCTTTTACAATTTTATTGTTTTCAACTTAAACATTAGTTTTCATCTATAAATGATCATTTTTCCTTAAAGGCGGATAAAAGCTCTAGTAAATAAAATGCAGTGATGTTTTATAGTATTTTATAGTTCCGTGCTAAAATTAACACGTCCCTTAGGGGCCAAAGCGTGTGTTGACACGACAATTTGTTGAATATTAAAAGTAAGTTCAATCCGGAAACTTTCAAAGAGGGTGGTTTTGGACGTATTTTTTCGAGAGACGTTTTCGTTTGTTAACTGATAAATGTTTAAGCGAAATGCAGCATCCTCAATTCTCGATACTAGTTAGTACTAAGGTCTACCTGCTGGGAGTAAATTCAGTATATATCCATAAATCTACATTCTTAGCATCATTAATTGAGCAATTTCCAACCTTTTATGCTTCTGCTAACACATTTTTTGTGTTTAGTTTTCAACTGAGATACGAACGATTTCACCTGCGATTCGGTAGGAAAGGTCGAAGCATCATTATAGTCAGCAGCAGGAAGAGCAGACAGGAACACTTTGAAAACAGATATAGACATAATATTGTACTCTGCTTGCTGCACAATATCTACCAAGGTGGTTCTAAACGGCTGCTCGATACCTCTGTATGTCATTTTTAGACTTCCGTGCTTTTTGTGCTTGACCGTTAAGCTCGTGATGCGCTGACGGATTTCAGTCATCTTACCACTTCAAATCACTTTTCGCAGCCCTAACGCTAAAAGGATGCGGAAAATTCCTTCTTTTTAGCCAATAAATATGGCAAAAAAATTCAGTTCATATGAAGAAAAAGAAGTTTTTGGTTTTTCAACAAAATTGTTCCCCACTGGCTCATGAGGGGCCTGATAAAATGTCCTGTTTTACAGGGCTTGTAACAAAATAGCATTTCTTCACTAAAATAGTATTGTATGTTAGGACGACAATATTTATATGAAAAGTTTTAATAGTGAATAAAATAATTTTCAAAACAATGACTGATATTAGAAGATGTGATAAATAAGCTATTGTGATGGTTTAAAGGCATTTCGATGTGTTATACACCGATCCCACCTTGTGGCAAGAGAGCAGTTTACCACTGATATGATGTTGTTTAACCCGAAACTATACATATAAATTTCTTAATACTGGATTATGTGTAATTTCAAAGCTATAACTGTTGTTAGAATTTTCTGCAATTGTAATGTTTTAAAGGCGTTCCGAGGTTGTTGCAATGGAAAGATTTTTATGGTTTTTATTGTGCACGAATTCAACAAATTTTAACACTATACATGTATGTTTAACACTATGTACTTGACATATCTCTACGTCCATCATGCATGTATCGTATCCAAATATTAGCTTATACAGAAAACCTACAAACAAACCAGTTTTCTTTTATCGTGACTCTCACAACCCGCAACTAATAAAATGACAACGATCATCACACAACTAGACCGATCTCAGAAAATTTGTCAAACCACTGCTTCTTACATAAATGTCAGAACAAAACTCTGTACTTCTGAACGAGAATGTTATCCCAATTCCGGCATAGATGAGTTTAAACATGTAACTACTCTACAATCCACCGTAATTAAAACCTAAATAATTAGCATATATTAGGTCGTCAAGAAATTAATGTCGCGTTTTGGAACACTTTCATTGACCCCCCCCCCCCAAAAAAAAAAAAAAAAACGTACATCACGTATAATAGTGAAATGAACAGCCTAAACGTCACGTTAGTGTAGCTTATAGAATGTGTAAAGTTTAGTTTACTCTAATCCCTTATAGGGATGGCATACAATGAGACACACATTTGGCACGTATGC